CTAGTGATTGTGTCAGTAGAGCAGGCACCCACTGATATGATTTTAAGTTCTTTTTTAAAAATAAAGTTAAAAATAAATTCAACCCTGGTGGCAACAAGGCGTTCTTCAGGATTCTCCACACATACCTTCTCAACTTTTACTGCAAAAACTTGAACTTCTACCATGAGGTAAAACCTTAAGGTGAAAGTTTACATTTTATTTTATATATGTCTATACACTTTCTTTTAATCTTCCTTGACTTGAGCTGGTGAGTCAAAATAGCGAGCATTAGATTGTCATTCACCCTGGGAATAGGTTAGTGACTTTTGAAAGAGATTTTTGGAAGGCAATTTTGACTGTGGGGGTTCTTCCATTTTACGTAAGAGAGCAGTGTGGTTCAAGAAGGTAACTTGTTTTTAATGAGATGGATTGATATGTTTTGAACATTCTTTATGGAGCACCGGTTCTGAGCTAAGGCAGCACTGTGAAACTAGAATGGAGGACAGGAAAGTCTTGAAGGGCTTTAACATATTTGCCTCAATTTCCTCACGAACAGTGTCCCTTTCTCTTGAAGCAACATAATTTTGTAAGTGACCTTATATCCTTCTCTCAACAAGTAGGGTAGAAATAAACACACAGGTAATTTATAATGGTTTAGGATAGGAGATCGCATTTCAATTCTTAAGGTGACAGTTTAATCTCATGTTAAATGTTCTCATTATATAAAACAAGTAAAGGGACAACAAAGGCAAACTTTACGAGGGTGAACGCCCGTGTCCTGTGTTCTGTGCTGAGTAATGAACACCGTCAGACTGGGAATTAGAACTAAGAGGAGATTGGGCCCTGCCAGTAATAACTAGCTCTAAACAGGTGGCGAAGTCACCAGTGAAACGAAGGCACTGAACTCCACAGTCACGGCCCCAAAGCCCCACACCAGTTGCTATCCAGCAGATTCAGACTCACAGGATAGAACGGAACCACAGAAGCTGACGGCTACATCTTTCTCCTGAGGATGACAGTGCACTAGTGCAAATGTTCTGTATTCGTGCTGTGAAATATGACTAGGATGAATGAGGAACTGAATGTGATTTTATGCTATTTTAATCCATTGAAATTTAAGTGGCGACACGCAGCTAGTGACTCTCACAGTGAATAGCAATGAAAAGTCTATATAATCTGTAATAAATGGAAATTATATCAACCAATATAAGCTGGAGGAGGGTAACAATTGTTAGTTTAGAAAGCAATATTAATAAATCCTCAGGGGAACATGGGAGATTAAGGTGAAACACACACAAAGTTATTTAATGCATCACCCAAAACCTCACTGCTACTGAGTCGATTCCGACTCCTGGTGATGCACCTGGGAAGCTGGAGCAGAACTGCTCCACGGAGTTCCCGAAAGCTACCTGCTTCATCTTTCTCCTGTGCAGCAGCTGATGGGTGCAACTGGCCACTTTCTGGTTAGAAGTCCGTTGCTTAATTCATAGCACCACCAAAGCTCCTTATGATGCTGTTTAGTTACCTTGGACGGGAGATCAAATGGGACACTTGTCTTACTGTGCATCTTAGCCTCCGGTTTAAGTGTCTTACTCTCCCACACAGAGTGCATACACAGTATCAAGTAAGGAACAGGGAAGAGGCATGGTGGCCGAGGTGCATCGGGGCAACATCATAGGTCATACATGGAGGATGGGAGGCAGCCCTCCCTGGAGACTGGGGGCTCTAAGGCCTGTCTCCATTCACGGGCAGAACAAACTCCCCCTACTCAAGGGGACCATTCTTTCATCACAAACAACTGCAGCAAAGAAGACAGGAACAAGCAGCTTATTGTGGACTGAAGGGCTCCCTGGTACTCTAGAGGCTTGGGCATGCATTCTTCCCTCCATTTTATTTTTCTAATTTTAATCAGGAGTGACAAAGAAAAGACTGCTATACTGGATTAATTTCTACTTTCCATTTTGGTATGGAATAAAAAAGATATAAATATAAAAACTGCCTTTTGAAGGGGGCATGCATATTTATTTAAGTCTGTATGAGGTGGTTTCAAAAAGTTTGTGGAAAACCCATTATCTTTTCATTTCCGTATACTAAAAGGTAGTCTTTTGGTGTGTGTGTGTGTGTGTGTGTGTGTGTGTGTGTGTGTGTGTAAGTTTACAGAGCAAATTACGTAGTTTCCATTCGACATCTCACACATTTTGATTCATGACACTGTCATCTCTTCAATATAATAGCACTCTTCCCACTTGCTGGCTCCCTGTGTTCATCATTCCATTTCACCCGCTTTCACAGCCTTCTTGCCTTTTGAGCGTTACTCAGGCCTGGGCAAGTGCTGCGCTTTGATTTTTGTGTATGTAGCTCCCTGGTGTTATTGCTCACTTCATAGGCCTCTCTAGTGGTTGACTGTAAGTTAAGTGATGGTGGTGAGTGCAGGCTTAAAAATGATGTCTAAGGGTCCTCCTGTCAGGGGTTCCTCCTGTCAGGGGTTCCACCTGTCTCTATCAAACCAACAGGCTTGGTTACAAGACACTTCTTTACAGACAGTGGCTAACGTCTTTTTTATTGAATCCTCAAACTTGTCTTTAATAAAGATATCAAAACATGAGTTATAGGTAAAGTGCCTGATGTACATGTACCCCAAAACTCCTCCTGGGCTGGGGATCTCAAAACATTTTTGTGATCATATCCTGTAAATATAATTTCTGGCACATAGTAAGCAAATGCCCAGTATTTTCAAATACATAAATATATCTTGCAATTTCAATTCAACAAATATTTATGAAGTGACCAATTTATATTTTGGTGTTTAATAACAATACCGTTTTCTTAAAGAAAAACTTCTTTCCCTTCTCGATGTAGTGAAAAGCACTTACCTTGAGAATGTTTGCTGGATGCAATCAAAGCTGCCCTGAGGGTTGTCTTTACCCACATTGGACAAATAGAAGTTAAAACTATGTACTTCATTGAGAGGGTCAATCTTGGGAATTTTGACAAGCTAGAAGGGGGGAAAAGACAGAAATGCTTTATAAAATAGAGTTCTAAATTTATGGTCTGATGTTTTTCAAATGACTTTCATTTTATACCCATACTCACTTGATATACACATCTTTCTAGATTTTAAATAATCAAATCACTCAAGGAATCTGGTAAGTATGCCGATAATTCATTACATTATTTCCATTTTTGACCCTTAAATGTCCATAAATATTTCTCCTCAGTAATTAATTTATAAGAGGAGTCCTTTCATTTCAAATTAGCTAATGATTACAGTTCATATACAAGAGTCGTCAGTGAATTTGCTAAAAACTCTTAAGATACTTAAGTTGTGACTCTCCAGCATGCAGGACTCGCTGTGGAACGGTTTCTGGACATTCTAAGGGTCTCTGAAATAAGGTCCACATCTCAACCCCTCACTTGCTTATTACCATACCTTTCACTTTACTTCTTGCTTTTCTAAGAAGCATTTTTGGAGAAAAATGATTAGCAGCCTTTATGGTGCCATAAGATTAATATACTAAGTGCCTGCACAGTAAAAATTCAGCCACGGCATTTCTCCATGTCCTTACTCATGCTCAGCATTACAGAACAGGGCCAGGCTAATTCTGCAGGACACTCCCTGGCCACACTGGTGAACAGGCAGGTGCATTTTCTATCCTCTTGCTCACAGCTTCGTTGCCCAACTAGATTGGAAGCCACATGAGAAGGGATAGGGTCGTCTACATGACCGATCCCTGTTGTGGCTCTTTTTCTTGGCACCTGGTAGGAGCTCAACAAATGTCTGTGAACAGAGGATTTAGAAACTCCTCATCATCTTTCAATTACTCTATCCTAATTAGCTCTGGAGACTTTTCTTCTTTCAAGCATGCAGGGGTGAGCACAGTGTTAGTGATATTATAACCTATAGGTCCCCAACACACAGTCTTCCTAATTTAGTCTACAGTCAAAGTAGGAGAGAAAGGCTTTTAAACCCTTCTACTTCTCCCCCAAATCTATTCTTTGCATCATTACATCAAGGCTTACGTATATACGTGTTAAATAGTAAAGATGTCACTTTGAGGAGTCAGGTATGCCTGGCCACAGCCCATGGTGCTTTTTGTTGTGTTATATATATATGTAAACTGGATAATAAAAAAGACAGATCCAAGAATCAATCCATTTGAATTGTGGTATTGATGAAGAATAGTGAATATACTGCCAGGAAGGAACCAAATGGACTTTGAAGGAAATGTACCCCGAATGTTCCCTGCACGTTGAAACATGCAATCAGGAGGGATCGGGTCCAGAAGGACATCATGCTTGACAAAGTAAAGGGTGGGTGAAAATGAGGAACACCTTCAACAAGATGGATTGACATTTTATTCTACCAGATGCTGTTCATTTAAGAGTTGGCACCAATTCAAAAGCAAATAACAGCATATGTGTGCTCATGAATGTACTAACGAGCACATGCATTATGACCCCATGCAACCTCTGCCTTGCTTTCTGTATACTTCCAACCCTTGACTTACAGAAAAGTAATTGTAACCACTAATCCCCAAATTCACTCCCCTGGCAACTAAAGTGAGGTAAGAAAGGAGACCATGTGGAGCGCCGAGTGCACACTAGACATGCAATCTTTGTTGGATGAGGGAATGAATAAAGAGAAGACAAATGGAAACATCTTTTCTGAAGAGTCACAGAGTTTGAACGATGCTGAGTGTTGCCTAATACTTGATAGAAATTCCATCATCTATGAATTTAAACTACCTTCGATTTTAAGTTAGCACCAATTCGTAATATCAAGTTTCTTCATTTATTGTCTGCTTTATAAATAATACCATTTGAGGTTCTAACATACTCTTATTTATAGAACTTTGCCAATAAGTCTAATTTACTGCCTGTAGGTATTTATCATGTTTGCTTACAGGGTGTACAAACACAATGCTAGCCAACACATGAATATTTGTGGAATGAAACTTATTTTTTTTCTAATTGTATGGAGCAGGAGCCAAAAAAAAAAAAAAAAAAGCTTGCGTCAGAAGTAAGAAGACCTAAAGTCCATATGCATTCATTTGAGTGCAATAGCCTCACTGACGTCTCTTTTATTTGTCTGAGGTAGCGGCTGGCCTCAAGCTTCCTGAAGGCTCAGCAGAGGAGATGCACAGGTATGAAAGGTGTGAGCGCCTGAATGAAACCCCCTCCCTTCCCAACTCTCTCTCTCTTTTTTTTCTGATTTTGATTTTTTTCCCCTTCCCAACTCTTAATCCAGATCAGAAGAACCGGGTTGGGGAGATGTTTATAGTGCGTGCGATCCCATTTCCATGTCAGTGTCCGGCCTCAAGTTTGAGCTGCAGCTCCAATTCCAGGAAACAAAAGCACTTTTCCCAGCAGAGTATGGAAGAGTGTCCTTCTGGGAGATTACAAATTATACTTCGAAAAAGTAGACTCATGCCCTTTTTTCTATTTTTCAAGCATGACTAGAATCTGCCAGTATTCTTTCATGGAAAGTTCTATTGGAACCCTTCAACTTGAAAGGCTACATAGCAAAACAGTAACTAAGTGAGATTACAGGAAAAAGCTTTAACAAGTTCTCTTATTACTTAAATATGGCCCCCAACCCCATCCTCAAGCTGTAATCCTTCTTATGCCAACATGCACATTTTAAAGATGAAACTTACAACGACTAATATGTCAAGATTCCTAGGTAGTACACATAGTCTGAAGGCCAGAGATCTGCCTCTCTTCAGCTAAGAGCTGTAACACTTGTGGTCACCATGAGTTAGAATCAACTCCACAGCAAGGAATTCGGTTTTCCTTTCTCTTTTTTCTGGATGAAAGGGCATCCATGGTTTTTTTTTTCCTTTTCAAACACACACACACACACACACACACACACACACACACACACACACACTCCCGTCTAAATTTGGAGTTTAGCGAAGATG